TGGGATAGAATAGAGTATGCAAAAGTTTTCTCGTTAAAATATTTTTATATTGATTAATTTTATATTTCAGTGAATACAGATAAAATTAAATTTGAATTAATATATCTAACGCTGTTATTTTAATGAACCACTAAGTGATAAAATATAGATACTATCTGAAGCCTTAGAGCGTCTATTGTTTATATTTCTAGTGTATCTATTTAAATTCCATTACTGTTACTAGTAATTTTGTTATTGCTAATATTCACGGCACGTGCTATGCAGGTGGTTGAATGAATGCTGCAAATATTTGACTAATCTTAACATTGACATTGAACTGAGGCATACATATCTAATAAACATTAAAATATTTAAGGTTATAAAAAATTGTCTTTCGATTATTAGAACAAAGATAACACTGAAAATAAATGGTAAGATCCGTATTTTTTCCACATTGAACTAAAACAAATCCTTTAGCTTCTCTGAGGATTTAGAGCCCTTATGTTGAACACAGAATTTTCTTTGTTCTAGACAGGAGATTGGTTTTGAGTAAAAAATGTCAAGAAAAATGTAATTATTCAGACTCTCAAAAGCTTTTTATTGTATTTGCTTTCAAAGATAAACTGAATAGAATTGCCAGATAAGAAAAAAAAGCACAAACCCTAATGAAAGGAGACATTGACACTTCGCTTCATATTAAAATTTATTTAGTTATTGTTATTACTATGCATTGTATATGATAATAAAAAATAAAGGCAGTTATACTTTTGAATGTGTCACAATAATGGTACAAATTAGTACAAAATAAGTACTAAATAATGTAATAGATCTGAATCGATTCTGCACAGTTGGTCCTGCTAGCTTAAGAGAGGTCAATTTTCTACTTCAATCAAAACATCTTCTTACATTTGTGTTCTAGTATCATTGGTATTTTTTTACAAGTTCCAGATTGTTCAAGACGATGAATATCTGGGAACACTCTATGGACAGGTATGAGACCTTTGCACATAAAAAATATCAATTTTAGGACACCCACGTACTTAGGTTAAATATGATTTGAAAGGAGTTGGACATTATGTGTCCTTGTCCACCGGGACCTTTTCAAATATATTGTGAGATTCCGTTATTTACGGTATTCTCGTCTAGCTTAGTTTTTTTATAAGACTTAATAGCTTTGGCAGTGGTTCCCGCATGTAGTTACATGCGTCTGACTTTTCTTCATCTAGTGTTAGAAACTTCAATCCAGCTATGTTTTCACACTGACACAGGACGTGCATGGATATTTGAAGTTCTTCTTCACAGAACCTGCATAATGTTGCTTCTTCTGCTGGACTGATGGCACTAATGTGCCTTGGTAGGCGAGAGTGTCCAGAACTACTCTTATTCTAACGATTTATCGTTTTTGATCCAGTAGGTCTTTCGTTAACTTGACCAACGGTTACTTAATGAACTCTTTGGTTTGTCTCAATCCTGGAAAGTTGTTCTATAATTCCTGGGACACTTTTTGCTTGCATTGTTTGATATATGCTTTGCACAATACCTTAGCAACTCCACAAAAAGGGTTCGGGGCCTGTCGTGGCCTTATCTGAGCATTCTTAAGCTAGTTCGTCGGCCTTTTTAGTGCCCTGATATCCTTCCTAGTCTGGTAGTCAGACTGTAATTTGATTTCTGATGAGATAATTGCCTTTAGAGCTGCTTGGCTATCAGAGTAGATACTAATAGTTTTGCCTGATGCCGATTTATTATTTCTCTAGCTCAGTTTTGTATAGCTATTAGTTCGGCCTGTAATATTACAACGTGGCTCATCGAAATAGTTGGGTCCAAAGATTCCAGCACCGGCTCCTTACTTGGTTTTTGATCACCGTCTGTATACCAGACGAGTCCAGCCTGTATGGCCGGTCCCTGTTTCCAGTATTTTCGGGCAGGTATTTAAATTTGAACATTTCTTTATGATTATGGCTATATCAGTAGGCATTCCCAGAATCTTATCTTATTGTACTTACTGGTATGGTCAACGATATGTTGACCTGGATTTTGTCCCTCCATTATTCTGTGAAAAAGAGACCCAGTTACTCCTTGTTTAAAGATGTACAGTGGCGTGAGATTTAATAGTACAAAAGTACGTATTAATAAGTATGTATCATCCGAAATCAATATTGACACAGGGGTATCTCAGGTAAGTGTCCTAAGACCACTACTTTTTATACTGTATTTGAATGTTATTCGATTGTGACTTCATTAATCTTTTTACTGATGTCACTTTGTTGACATGTTCTGATACATATTGAATGGCCGCAGTCGAGAAAAGTAGATAAAGTTAGTCAGAAGTTTAAAAATTAAATGTTCTAAATCAAAAGCCCTAATTTTTAAAACAAATATAACTTACTAAATATTAATTATTGTAATTTAGAAATTTATGGCGAGGAAATAGAAATAGCTAAGTACTGTTAAGTATTAAGGTTTCAAATTAGATCATTTGCTTACATGTAACGATTACTTTAAATTATATCAAAACAACTTTTTTTTTAATTATATTTGTGGTCCCGTAGAGATCCGCCCAAAATTATCCCGTGTCGTAAGTAACTTTTCACTAGTCAGGTGAGATATATAAAGGTGTAATAAAATTTTGTGTTATTTATTTAACTCTTTAAATTTGGAAAAGATTCAAATGTTTTAATTAAGTATATAATTAAAATGAATAATTAAGGTGTGTACCTATAAAGATTCCTAAATATTTTATCTGCAATACGGAATTAATTTTGTTATTGGAGATTTCAATGTTAATGTTGAAAGGAGGAATTGCCAGCTTTTTTGGAGCTAAAGGGCAAAAAGTATGTTTCATCCATGTCAAAATACTGCGCGGTCAAACCATTTTTTTTATAATGGGAAGCCGGTTTCTGCTTTATCTTTTAATTTTCTGTATCATCAGTGTAGACTATGATGTCGTCCACATTTTTTAGGGAAAATATCTAGTAAACTGTATTATTTACAGGTCCCAATACAATCCTTGAGGAATTCCTTGATATTAAGATTTATCGATTCTTCATAAGAATCACTTGTTTTTAATTAAATTTTATTTCAATAACTAAAAATATACTGGCGATTAGTTTGACAGAATTGTCACTAATTTATTTTAAAAAAGAACAGTTAGTTGTATATTAAAAAATATGAGCTGGTGAATTTCATATTCCTACTAGAATGGATATGAAATTATATCCGTTCAGTAGAGTGATATCGCCTACAGAATCGTTCTGTAATTTGCGTACAAACTTTAATAATAGGTATGTGTACATATTGTTGGTGAAGAATAGTAGTTTGTGCAACAAGAGTGTATATGGACAATCCACTCGAGTTGTACAGAAAAGAATCGAAATTAATCGAAAAGAATCGAAAATAATCGACTAATCGATAAATCATAAAGAATCGATTATTTTTAAGTAACCTACTAGTCGAAAATAACTGATTATTTATTTTGATAATCGCCCGGCAATCCATTTTGGCAACAAAATTATTTAATAGGAAGTTTTATTTGAGCAACTGGATTTTTTTTTATTAATTTATAGAAATCTACTGAACTCTACCAAAAGAAAATTGTCTACTAAAACTAGCCAAAATAGCTGAAAATCTACCAAAAAAACAGAAATCTACCAAATGTGGCAACGTTGAATTAAAAGACTCCCAGTCAGAGTGACTTTGACCAAGCACAATACCTAATCGTTGGACCAAGCGAAGTTAACTGTCGTGACGTAATCTACGTGCGATGCACAAAATGATGCTAAAAATAGCGTGGTTTCAAGCAGATACACTGCTGTTTCACGGATCTATTAACCTGTCTTTTTAACATTCATTCTCAGACACCTCTCGCGTTCACTAGACATATTGAACCGACAGACGCGATCGGCCTGAGCGCAGTGGGATACCAAAAAAAGTAGAGATTAATACGTACGAAAATAATAAATATATTAAAGTGAATTTATATTATTAAGTTATTTATATGTGATTTTAAAATAATGTGCTCCTATGAAATTTAACTGGGTGTTCACTGCATAAATGAACCAATGGAGAAACCGCCCCTAGTTGGGTGTCCAAAATATGAACACTGCCCTACTAAGCTGAAACGTCCTATTTGACCTAAAGATAGTTTTGAGATATTAACGATTTTCTGTTTTTATATTGTTCACTATGTAAATATTTTTCGAAAGGAATGGAATTTTGGCATGAGTTATCTCAAAGCAATTGAACGCAATGGAATAGGTACTTTTTCGTTTGTGCGTAGATGAACTAATATACATGTGGGTGTAGACAAAATATATTTTATAAAATCATTTTTCTTTAGACAAAAACCGGAATTACCATTTCTCCCACACACAAATACACACACGCTCGCAAAGTCAACAGCGTCTGTCAAAGACCGACTACCAAACCGACTCCAAAGGTGAAATTATTCGGCCAGATGTGAGCGCGCGGGATCAATTTTATAGAACCAGAAATTCGCAATATTCGCAAGACAAAACGACCCGAGGACCGGCCGTAATCCTCTAACATTTTTTCTTATTCTTCGTTCTTCTTATTTCATTTTCTTCGAGACCGCCTTCGGGTCGACAGCCTCTCTTGAAGCCGGCACAAACGGAGGCGAGGTTGGTTTGGTCTTTCACTTAGGAGCGCGACTCCGAAAAAAAAACTTAAGAGCTAATCAATACGAAGTGATCAATGATTCATTGTTCCTTATTACGAGACCGTTTCACTTTGGTTAGCTGAAAAAGAATTTAGAAGAGATAGTAAAATCTAGGTGTCAAGGGCGATTATTTTTTCTATTTAAAATCGGCTGATAAAATAATTTTCAAATTCTTTTAAATACAGCTATGCAAATTTGTAAATAAAAATTCACTTCTATCATACCTGCTAGAGTACAATCTTTCTATATTGTAATAATATATTTATTTATTTAACTCACCTTTTCATTCTTTTGGATTACAAAACGAAAATTAAAGTTACATAATTTAAAATAATTTGAAACTTACCTTAGACGTAGCAGGTAGATACCGAAGAGTGATTGCTTCACGGAAATCTGAAACAACATTTATATATTTAATAATTGAGTAATTGAAACAAATAAAACTCAACTTATATCACATAATTTTTTTTTAATAAAAATGGCGACCGGTTTCGGCTATATAACCATTTTCAAGCTTAATATTTTAAAACGATTTCTTAAATGACACAATAAAATTAAGGCAATATTAAATTCACTCAACGATTAAAAAAAAAATCGTACACGAAGATTAAATCCATAAAAGAAACTAAATAACAACAGCTGTGTGTCATCGGCTTCAACTGATAAGGTTATTTCGCCTCGTGTTCTGTGTAGGCTTTGTTACTGTTTCCCAGCGCCACTTTAGGAACAGCACTGTTAATTAGAACCCAACAGTGAATGGTCGAGTGGGGAATCCTACCAAGGCATCAGAATTAATTTTAAATAATTAAATTAAATGAAAAATCCCGGCCAACGGTGGGATTCGAACCTGGGACTCTTGGGTCCGCAGGCAGAGACTCTACCACTGAGCCACCCACCCCCTTTGTTCGTTTTATTATGGATTAAGAAATACACAAAGAGCTGCTTTTTGAGAAAACTTTGACAACTGAAACTAAACGAGAATCAATATTTAATATTTAGAGGGATTACTTCATGGATAAAGCGACACCTTTATCAAATATATCAGTAGCATCCATGGTAGGGCGCTACCGTGGATTTGTAAACCACTTAAAACAAAAGGTACTCGATGTGTTAGCAATACACTGCGTTATCCATTGACAACATATTAGTTGCCAAAAATCTGAGTAGTAAACAGAATTCGAAGCATTGAATATGCGATTATTTGCTTAGTTGTAAGAAAAAAAAAAGGCGAGAACTTTTATCAATTGCTTCTTCACACTGAAGCAGGCTGGCTTTCGAAAGGCTTATGTTTGGCAAGTTTTTTGCTCAAAATTAGCAAAATGCTTGCAAAGGATTTTTTTTTATTGTTATAGACGTCTAGAAGCATATTATTTCATTTCCAGCATGAAACGAAAACATACATCGATAAGCAAGCTTATTTTGAATTTGACAGGTTACACGACAGCTTCCATCACCGTGACATAGTGACATCTATTCCCATTTTTAGCCAATCTTAAGGATCATGAATTAGGCATTCCAAACAAATGAATTACCAGTGGGCAGGTTTGGTATATCTAAGGGTGGCGACATACGGTGTATTCTATCTACTTTACGTAAAATCATGAATAATGGATTACATTTAAATATTTTATGTCAAACACAATAAAAATAATATTTAAAAAACTCACCATTACATTTCTTCATAAATTGGCAGGTTTGGCCACTACTACTTCGAATAAAAATAGCGTCCAAGTTGCAAGACTATGTCGCTACCCCCTTAGATATACAAGAATTTCCCACTGGCACATATTGTTTGACAGGTCGTTGGAATACCTAATTGTAAGAATTTTTAATCTCGGCAGACAGGTAGACTGAAAAATGTTATTAATTATTTATTTTTCAGGTACGTTTACATCTGACATTTATTGCATGATATTTATGTCTGACAGTTGTTTAGTCCAGTATAAACACTCAAAAATATATGTCAGAGAGAAATTTTTGTGTGTTTACACTGGACTAAACAACTGTCAGACAAATCTCATGCAATAAATGTCAGATGTAAATGTACCTCTAATTATAAACATTGTAAAACCTTTAGAAACTAGAACCGAACCCAGAATTGAGATATTTTTAATTTGGATAAATTTTGATTTGGGTCGGTAAAAAAAAGTATCGGAAGTCGAGAGATCAATGAAAACTACTACTAACACAATCTAAATACCCTCAAAATCCAGATAGTTATTGTATTGGAACGTCCAATCCATCTTCAAAGGATTATTATCAACAGTTTGAAGTGGTCCATCGGAGCGTTATGTAAACGAAACCACCTAAATTCATTCACATCGTCATCTACTCCAATACGATTCCAAAGCCCCGCTACTCATTGAGTATTTTGAGCCGTCCGTCGGCGAAGCCAAAGCGGTGCCGGTGTGGAAAATCGTGGAAAGGAAAATAGAAGGGGAAAGCGTTTAAAAACGCGTTTCACAGTTTGTGTTTGTTTACGTCTGCTGGATTTCCTTCCTAGTTTTTTACGCTGGGTGTTTTTCAGGAAGCGTTTCTATAAAGTGGGTTTGTGGAGGAATTTTAAATTTGGACACGAGTGCCTGTCGATACGGACATTTAGAGTAGAAAGCGGAGCATACTGGGAATAGGGCGGGAAGTAAATATCTTTTATTAGATACGTTCGGACAAATTATAGCGCGGAATAATTTTGTCCAGTTACTTTTGCGTTTTATTTACCTTTAGGAAAGGATACGGTATGTACATTAGATGTACTTTCCTATTTTTCCAATAACAAATATTTAATATCTCTTAATATCGCTGTTATTATAAATACATCATTCGAATGGGAGTTAAAAAAAAACTATTGGAGATTTAATAAACATATAATACTTGAATTAAATGATTTTCTCGAGTTTGGTGTAAGAATGTCATATCCTCGGACGCAAAATTGTTGAAGAATGAAGCTTACTCTTAAACGATTTTTGGTGACAAACTGTTGTCTCTGTTAGTATCTTTCAGTTGACATTAACTACTTTGCTAGTAAATAAATTCCATCTGTCAATTGGTTAGTAATGTCATGAAATTCCTAAATCCGACTCTGTCTAAGTAAGCGGCCTTAACGTGTGTGGCAACCGATTCATGCTCGAGGCGACGGAATATTCTGGAAATGCCGCTGAGGCTCGAGAAACGGATAGAACGGGCGGAGTGTGCCGTTGAATCAGAGATGGAATTTTCGGGAGCGTCTGGAGACTTCTAGTAGCAGAGTTGGACTTAATATAAATAGCCGACTCATCGTCGGGTAGTTAGTTGAGTATAAAGTGTTAGAGAAGAAAAGTTAAATTGTAATAAATAAATTAGAATTGTTTGTTAGTGTCTAAGTATTATATAAATTAATAGGTACGTCTTAAATAAAATGTAAATAGTGTGTTTTAAATAAATAAACTATAAATAAATTAGACTATCGTCACAGTAACCAAGTGTTACCAACCGACATATTTTGTGAATAAAATCCTCAACTAACAACGACCATAAAAAATTTAAAAAAAGTAAATAAAGCCCAAAACACACGTTGCAGAAGGCTATTCTTGCACTCATTCGTTCGTCCACTCTCTCCTTCGTCGCTCGTGGTCAAATTTCGAATTCGTGCGGGAATGTGTGGCCTTCTGCAACTTGTATTTTAATATTCTATTAGCTTACGGTTTTATAAAATAATAGTATATAAGGATAAAAAGTGCATAATTTTTTTACAAGAATTTTTTGCAGTTGCGAGGCGAAGAGAAGCGCAGCTGAGCGAATGTAAATGTGCGAGTAAAAAAAGAGCATTTTAGTGCGTTCGCTATTTTTCTTCAAGCAAATCTAAAATTAATACATTTATTTTTTAAAAAATCTAATAATTTGGTAATAAATTTGATTATTTCCCTAGCCTGTCAATTTTGACATTTTAACCAATCACATCGCAATTTACGTTATCGTTAGAGCCAATCAGAACCAAACAGTTACTGTCAAATATTAATTGTCAAGCTAATATCTCGAGGAACGTTTCAAAATAATCGAAAATAAAATTTATTTTAGTTTATATTTATATATTTAAGTTACATATAGGGCTCTAGAAATAATCTCATTAAATATAACTCTACCTTAATATATTAACGCCTATGTATTTCTATTTTTTACTAACTTTTTCGTATATTTTGCAATTTGTCTCGACATAATTTTATCATTAATAATCAGAGAAGTCCTCGAGCTAAAGCTCTAATCAAATTATTAATGACAAAATTATGTATTTATAAATTGATATCAAAAACACTCAAAATTTAGATCCAATAAAAATAGTCGACTATTTATCAAGGTCTCGTTATATTTATTACCCTTGAATATTATAACAACGATGGCAGGTAAGTTAGTCATGGATATATGATGATTATTGGTAAATATTGATTGTCAAGTAAACATACATTTACAATCGAGAATATAATTTTTTTAACGGTTTCGAAAATAGAATCCTGAACTAGAATGCAAATATAGGTGTACCTGCGAAGATATAGGTGCCAAATTAGAATTAGTTTATTTTACTACGTTTGGAAGAGGCAATTTTTTTCACATTTTATTTTAAGAGATCAAACGCAATTACTTTTATGATACACTGCAATGTTATATCGAGGTAACCAACCTCTGTTTATGGTTGTTATGGGAGTTATAACGGGCTAGCCCGGTAAAAATTTAAACAACAGTTGTGTCTGAATTGTCAGTTGTAACCATCAAGATAGAATAAAGTAGAGACGGCATAAACACTATTTTCCGATATGACAAATGGACTCACTTCAAATGACGCAAAAGTGTAATGAAAATGGCGTGATTTATTTGAAGTCAATAATTTTGAAGACTGACGGAATGAAAATAATTTGATATTATTTATATGAAGCTATTTAAAGAAAAATGGTATTTATTCTCACCAAAACTGACTAGCTACACTATCTCGAGTTTGACATTGACGTAAAGTTGCGAACAGTTTAGCATCGTCATAAGTTTGTTCCAACACGCACGAAAACCGTAATATTACCATATAATCGTGCGCTTTACCCAACAATTGTATACAGCGCATAATTTGTACAGTAATATTACGGTTTTCTGGCGTGTTGGAGGAACAGACCTATAGCATCTCCTCTTTATTCTATCTCAATGGTTGTAACTGAACTGTCATTATTTTAAGTTACATTTGGAAACTTGTGATGGTGGTGTCAAATGATAAAATTTTATTTGATTTTAAGTTTTAAAACGTATTAAATTGCAGTATATCATAAAACGTTGTGCGATACACGCTCGTTACCTGATCTCTACATGCTCGCACGGCCATATAACATGCTCGCTAGCGCTTGCACATTAACGACCGTACTCGCATGTAAATATCTAGG